GTACACAGCTACACGCCAACTCGCACTCTCAGGTCAGCTGATCAGTTGCTCTTGAGGGTGCCAAAAACAAAGTCTAAGCTCAGAGGGGACCGTGCTTTCTCTGCTGCCGCCCCTAAACTGTGGAACGACCTGCCCTTGCTAATCAGACAGGCTCCCACACTGTCTGTTTTTAAATCCCGTCTAAAAACCCACCTCTTCTCCTTAGCATTTGAAACCAAGTTTTATTTGCTTTCAGTGGTCTATTGTTTTTACTATATGGCCGTTTTTTTTTTTTTAATGATTGTTACGTTTATTCTGGTTGGTTTTGTGTCTGTACCTTTTATGTGATTTTATACTTATTTTTATGTTTTGTGAGCTGAGTTGTGTGATTTTATATTTTCTGTATCTCTCTGTACAGCACTTTGGTCTGGAGGTTTTAAAGTGCTACATAAATAAAGCTAGATTGGAGAGTTGGCCTACGTACCGGTGGATCTCCCCGCTGCGTAAAGGGCCAGAACGGCCTGCATGGCCACGTATGTGAAGGGAACATTGAAGCACTCGAACATGATCTCCACCACGCGCTGCCGGTTCCCCAGGGGGTTCATGGCCGCCTCCGTAAGCAGGACAGGGTGATCATTCGGGTCCACACCCAGCTGCTGGAACGTGTGATGCCAAATCTGAAACAAGAAAAGGGAGTCAAAGAAGTCAAAGCGCTCCTCTCCATGGTTACCTACTAAAAGGTGTACCTTTCTTCTAGCTGAGCAATGTGATCACTGTACTACTAAATGTCAGAACACAATGTGTGACCGGGGGAAAAACAAGAATTGGACAGCAGTGGGTTTCTGTCCAGCTGTGTTGTTGTAAGAACAGATTTTTTTTTTTAAAAGGAAGAAGCAGAAAAATGAGAATTGATAACGTTTCATTTCAGAATTGATGCGTCATCTGCTTTTGGGAGGTGGGGATTAACAGACACATTAAGAAGCAATTTAGTACAAATATGGGCCGATTAATATCTGCGGCTGATTTATTTACAACATAAAACAACATTCTAAAATGGATAGCGCTTAGTTATGCGGCACCAACACTCATCTAGTCAAATTAAAGTCAAAAAAACTTGTTCTTCCAAGCCTCCACATTTAATGAAGAATAATATATAATATAATCATTTGTTATATAGTAATAGATTAGTGAAAGTGTTTATGAGTTATGACGGGGGAAAATGTGACTTGAATTAAGTGGAAAAGTTGTGGAACTGATCCACTCATACTATTTATATAAACACAGTGCCGGGTTTTAAAGCTTGCCCCTCTTGAAAATAACTCATCCATTTCATAGAGATATACTCCCAGTGACATCATACTGTACCTAGTGTATCAGGCATATCCAGTCCCACTTACCTTTTCCATGTCGTCCCAGTTGCGAATGATCCCGTTCTTTATGGGATGCCTCAGAGCCAGGACCCCTCTCATGTGCTGAGCCTCGTGTCCAATGTAGGTCTCCCTCTCAAGGTTACCGTTAATTATTTCCTACAAAGACAAAACTTCTGATTAGAGGCGAACTAAAATCAAAGCCACGTTACAATAATAATAATAATAATTTTAATTTAATTTGTTAGCGCTTTTACAGGTGCTCAAAGACGCTTTACAGATAATAGTGAAGAGAAAAGAAAAGAGAAGAAAGGAACAACAAATAAATATATAGTTAAAGTTAAAGTCAAATAATACAAAAACAATCACACATTAAAAGCCAGATTAAGAGGTGATTTTTTGTGAGTTTTTTGAAGGTGGTGAGGTCGGTGCAGTCTCTGATGGGTTGTGGGAGTGAGTTCCAGAGGGAGGGGGCAGCGACGGAGAAGGCTCTGTCCCCCCAGGTCCGGTGATTGGTGCGGGTGGGGATGGATAGGAGGTTGGCTTCTGATGAGCGGAGGAAGCCAACCTCCTATCCATCCCCACCCGCACCAATCACCGGACCTGGGGGGACAGAGCCTTCTCCGTCGCTGCCCCCTCCCTCTGGANCCTATCCCCTGTGTGCTTTTCCAAGGTATTACATTTTGTAGCTTGTTTTCAATAAGTATATAAATTGTCCAAAGAGGTTGTATTCTACAGTGTGCCTGAATGTAATCATTGTGTAGGTGCGTAGTGTGATTCTGTGTAGTTTATTTATGGCATCCCGTTGGACGTCATCTGGTTAAAACTCAAAGTGGCGATGAGGTCTTAAGATGTATGGAAAGGGTCTTAAAAAAAGCTCTTAAAAAGTATTACATTTGACTTCAGGATTCCTGCATATACCCTGATTATGTATATAGCCAAATATCAGACGTGTGTTTGTCTCAGATTATCAAACATAAATTACAGTGCTAAATGGTGTAAAATACAAATAAAATGAGAGAAAACGCAACAAAAATCTAATAAAATACCCAAAATGTGGAACCCAGGAGGACAAACAGGGAATCATCTGAAACCAGCTCTAAATCCAGGCTTTATTAAACAGGGATGTCTTCAGTGTTCTCTTAGCTGTTTGCACAGTGTCTGCATCAAACAGGAAGTTGGTCCCAGAGAAAGGGAGTCTGGCAGCTGACAGATCGGACTCCTGATCTGGTTTTGCAGACTCTGGGCAGCACTAACAGACCTGCACTCTGGCAGCGTGCTAATGATGTGCTAAAGGGGCCAACATGAACATTTACGATGCCAGCTGTTAGTGATGATCTCTCTGGTATTTCTCAGGATCTGTGCAGCGGTGGAGAAGGTGGAGCAGCTGTGGCAGCAGGCCTTCTCTAAGGCCCGCCTCCAGCTGCAGGTGTTCCAGCTGCGAGAGGATGCTCTACAGGTGGGTCTGACCGGGCTCCTGCTTCCTTATAACATTGATTAATTGCGTAGCCCTTACATTACGGTGTATTGCTGCCGGAGCGCACTCCGCTCTTTAAAAAGTGGATTATTTGACTGCAGGGCAGACTTTCCCCAGAGTTTAACAGTGTTTCCACTTTATACATTTGATGAGCGCCTCCGCTCATAAGTCACATGATCATGATATCTTCTGGAAATGATACCAGTGTCCGGCACACATAGGCCAACACACGGAGCTGAGCAGAGACAGATTTAACATCAGGAAGATACTGCAATAACGAGACAGATAACAAAGTAATGGAGTCTGTTTGGAGAAAAGCTTTCAATATATCAAACTGCCGTTATTTTTGAAATCTTTCTTATGTATAGTCTATCGTAGATGGTCACATAGTTTAGTAATTACTGTGACACTAAATCATTTGTACTGCAATGTGTTTCAATAATGAATTCCAAAGAGTTGGCAAGGAGGTGTGATGGCCCTGGTTACCAAACTTCTCCTTCATTTAAAAGCAGAATGTTGTGTAATACCGATCACCTGATGTGTGTAGGGCTCTGTGTGTTAGCCTGCTGAGGGTTTTGCTCTGAGGACAAAGAGTTGCCGTTAGTGAAACATTTTTAACACATTTGATAAATGATGATGATGGTGTATTAAGAATTTCCCCTCACAGTTAGGACTAGATAAACCGGTAAATGCTACTCATGAAGCAGCTTAAGATGACTCCTAAGATAAAAAACTGTTAGGAGTAGGAAGGAATTTAAAGACTCAATGTGTCTTAAGCAGAGCACAAGATGTCGGGAAGACATTTCAATGTTAAATCTCGTTGATATGGTGAAATGCTCTAAATACTAAAATGAGCAGCATGCAAACAGTCTACTATCAGTCTGTGAATAGGCTCCTGCTGAAGTAGTCCTGTGTTTCCAAACTATTTGATGGCTACTTGTCAATTATGAATTACATTTCCTCAGTGTTATCTTTACAATTATTTTATAAAATGGCTTTTAATATTTCCGTTTGTGTTTAATGCCATTAGGTATTCATTTACTCAGTGTCTATTCTTCATCTTTTACCCTTTCCTGTATGAAATTGCACTTTTTGTCATTTGAAAAGAACTAATAGAGCGTATCTTTATGATTACACCTTTTGATTTGATGCCCACTATCACTCAGTTATTGCATTTTTTTTAATTGACCATTTACAGCAGTGGATCAAACGGCTCCTCCTGAGAGTTGCTCAGTCTCTCTGAGGACTTTCCCTGAATCCCTCCTAAGCCTGGAGCTTTGTTCAAATATCTCAGGATGTGAGCTCTCTTGAGTTCTCCCAGGATGATGTGAGCTCTGTCCCAGGAGCTCGACACTTTAACACAATAATTCAAATCCTGGTACTCTTTGGTACTCCGTTATGATCTTCAACTGTCCTGCATGTTCTTTTTATTGAGTGGGTGATTATTTATACTCTACGCTTTATACATAGTCAAACCAGGCGGACCCAAGTTGACATGAACTGGATCTAACCAGTATGCAAACATGTCTGTACCTTTCCTTTAGCAATATAGGATAACTAGTGCTTGTTAAAATGTCTGAACTGAATGCGTTTCCTCCCGCTCGCAGATCACAGAGCAGATCAAAACTCTTCTCCAGGAGAAACTCCAGCCCTACAAAATAGAGATTGCCAAGGAAGCTGCCGAGGCCGTGCTGCTGGTTTCCCGGTTCGAGGCTTCCATTCACAGACCTGCTATGGTATCTTTATATTCTGTGTTCTTCTTCATTCCTTTTTGGAACATGTTTTTTGAAATGTGCCCAAATAAAGTCCACGTTGTGTTATAGTGCACCCTCTATTAGTCGATTTCGTAGCTCAGATTTTCAAAGTATTTCTCCTGATTAGATATCTAACATCAATCATTCATACTTCATGTTTCAGCAGTTATTCTTGGTCCTTATTTCTAATCAAAGTTAATTTGAAGAACTTTTTACATTAGTATTTTTTTCTTAAAATGTGAACATTACTGTCCCTCAAAGTATTTGAAAAATACAAAAAAAGTTGGACAAGGCTGCGTCTTTGTTTGTTGCACATGTTCACACACCCATGCTCACACATTACTTTGTTTAGGTTCGTTAAGTCCCTCGTCGGTTATATTGTACATAACTAACACTTCAACTTGTGTGGTCTCCCATCTTTGTTGCAGCCTATGAGCCTGGCTGCAACAACAAGCAAACCCCTCAGGTGTTGCCCTCGAGCAACACGGTTTAGGAAAAGCATATGGAGATGAGCAGAAAAACTGGCCTATTTTCAAATGACTTAAGTGGAAAAAAACCTATGATTAAATAGTTTTGGTAAATAGTGTCTGTAAATATCCCCAAACCCCCTTGTCTCCCCCCAGGCTCTGGTCCGTTGTGCTGAAGATGTGATCCACACTGTGGAGGAGGTGCTGCTGCTGCTGGACGGGCAGAGCAGGGAGCGCTGGGTTATGGATGTGGAGCGGCTGAAGGACAAGCTCCACTCTGCGGTTCACTTCATCCTGCAGACCCTGAGGGTGGTCTCCAGCTACCACCATCACTACAGCAAGGTGAGCGTTGGGTTTCATAGTAGAGCTGTCATCAGTTCAAACATTTCTATTGAGTCAATCACAATAACAATCTGTGATTCATCACAAGTTTATAATGTATTCTGGAGGGGAGATCAAACTAATACACACAAAGAAATAATATGGGCCTTTATTGATCCCTGCACGGAAAGTGTTGTAGCAGCAACAGAATAAGACAAACACGGGAGGAAATGTTGCTCGTTTCCATGGTGAAATCGCCATCTTTCCCAAACATATTGAGCAAGATGCAGATAACGGGGGGCTGCCTTCATCAGACAGGAACACTTTGGAAGCTACCTGGACCAGTGTTCTGTAAAAACGCTCTATTGTTATTTGTCTTTTGATTTATGGTGCATCTCAGGTGATGTTAGGGAGTAGTCCAAAAGTAATGTAACTAGTAGTGTGACTACACAATTTCAGCAGCGATTAATTTAGTAAAGTATGCATTACTTTTTTTATAAACTAACTAGAATTGTAGTAACTACCCCAACACTGCGAATAGGTGACAATATGTGGCCCTTTTTACAAAACAAAAGACTGGCTCTAACAGTCAGTCTGAAAGCAGTACTGTTTTCTGTGCTTTGTGTGCCCCCTCCCCGTTACCCCTTGCCTTTCTGAAACATGACCCCTGACCCTGCTCCCCCTCCAGGCCAGCAACTGGTACCGTCTGGTTCTCAGCGAGAACTTCCTGCAGGCTCTGCTGTCAGGAGTTAACGGAGACAGCGGTTCCATGCAGAGGAGGAACTATGGCACCATCCCTGCATGGAGGTACAAGATGTCCACCTTCCTGAAGAAGAACCCCCCTCCAGATGTGGAGGAGCTGGTTCATCTGGCACATCTGTCCCTTGCCATCCCAGATGATGACGTCCAGCAGGCAGGGAAGAAGATGTCTCAGAGGTGAGAGCGCTTTGAGTTTCACATGGAGGTTATGAAGACAAACCTTTGGCATTTTCTGTGCCAGTCCTTCTACTGATGTGTCTCCTACTCATAGTAATGCAACATATTGGTTCATTTGACCTTGACCACATCTTCTTATTTTTTTACCTTTCTTCCTGTTTCAGACATGTCGAAAACCTAGAAAAATCTCTGTGTGAAAGAAAGTATTATATTTGAAGGATAGTGCCTTGTTCATTTATGCATATTCATGTAAACACATATAACAGGAGTACAGTTGATGGCTGGGTTTACTAACTTTCATTCAATTTAATGTTTTAAACAAATGTCAATTCGTTCAAGTGCAGTCAGAGAATGCTGTTTTCTGAAAACACTTTGAATGTCTTGTGGCTAAAGAAAGAAAACACTAGATGGCTTACATGTGTTAAGGGGCGACCGGCCGAAACAATTCAGAGTCACTTAATAATCCCTTATTCACTTTCTCACAAATAAATAATAATTTTTAAGGTTTGGCAATGTGATAAAAAAATATCTTCAAAGATTTGACATTCCATACTGGTTTATATTATTTCTGAATGAATAATGTTGTTGGCTTATGTGAAAAAAGCTTCTCATCTCAGAGTCCATTGCTAGCTTGTTTTATTGGTAACCCCACTTGCTTTTATCAGAACATGGAGTTTGCTATGTTGTCATGGAGATGGATCTATTCACAGACTATTTAGCTCTCATCGTAGCGCTTGACCATGTTGTCAGCTAGTTCAATGTTTGAAAGATATGAAAAGGCAAGTTTGCATAAATAAAATCAAAAACATTTAAATCTGCGGCAAATGGACACGAGACACAATTTCATTTATGCTACATCATCATGAACAACCGTAGAAATGGAACATTTGGCTGTTCAGAAACAGTGACACATTTTAACCGTAGTTTATATACTCTCCTATATATGTTTCTGCTCCTGTAGTATATGTCTCTATTTCTGTTGCTGCAGTATTTTGGTCTTCTAAAGAACATTTTAATTCATCCAGAATATTTTAGATTGTGTGTATTATTTGTGATACATGTCTTTTCTATGGTTATGTTTTACGTGCTTTTATATTAGCTATTTTATTGTTTTTATGTTATACTATACTATTTATTTCACCTTTTAAATATTTTAATGCCTGAGCACACTGCTGCTTTTAACAAAAATAAGTTCCCAATTTGGGTTCAATCAAATATCTATCCAAGCAGTACAACTTTTTAAATGTATTTTTCACTGTTATTTTTTACCACAATTCTTCATGTGTTCTCCATCAGGTGCATGACCCTAAGGAAGCTCCTCATGTCTTCTGGCCCCGTGGCTGTGAGGCCGCTGCAGCGGGCCCTACAGTGGCAGTACGAGCTGTTGCGGAACAGCCAATTTGCCCCCCCCCCTGATGATGGTGCTTCAAACAGAACAGCTAAAGAAGGTCAGGACCTCACTAATGGTGTAAAGGAACAGAAAGCAGCCCATCTTCCCCAGACTGTCTCTGCTTCAGCTGAGGGCAAACCCCCCTCCCTCAGTTCCTTCGACTCAGGCTTCGATGGAGCTGGGGGAGGCCAGTTGGAGGCCTGGGGGGGGAGGGAAGGAGTGGAGAGTCTGTGCACATCAACTGGGATTAGGGACTCTGTGAGGCCCGCCTCGAGTCAGCCTCAAATCCACGAGGAGAACATCTCCAGTGTTTCCAATACTGAAGACCTCAGAGAGCAGTATGGCTCCTTGGGGAACTCATCCAGGGCGAGCATCCACATCATCCCTAAAGTCACCGTGGATTCCCTCAACCTGGAGATAAAAGTGAAGCGCTCAGCCGCCCTACCCACTAACCCCTGGCTCAGCTTGCCGGTGGACAATCTGGAGAACTCGTACACGGTTACCATCACGCAGAACCCGACGCCGCACAAGGGAGACCTTCAGTTGGATGGCTCCGACCCCTGCAGGTGCCGGGACCAGCCCACACAGACGGACGTGTTGAGCCGCACACAGCCCACAAACTGGGCCCTGCACTCTCAGAGCAGCTTAGAGGACCCTGAACTGAGTCCCATTCGCAAAGTCCTCTCCAGCACCATCACAGAGGCCCTAGAGCGCTCCATCCTCACCACAGAGGGGGGGCCCACTCTCCTCTGGGACTCCTATGACCTCCATGAGCAGGTTCAGGATGCTGTGGATGGGTAAAAACAATTGTTTAAATATATATTGTTAAACGTAATAAACACAACGTTTGTATACTTTAACTGCTTTATTGAGATCGCACATAATCGACCGGCATCCTCCACGACTTCCACACACTGAACCAAACTGTGCAGGCACCACGCGGGTCAGAGGGGAAACTCCTCCCCGCAAAGCCCACATGGGATAAACATGTTAATAACTCTTAGAAGAAATTGAGTCAACATTTGAAGTTAGGATTCCACTCCTCATTTGAGTGACCTGCTAATGGGGGCAGTTGGATTTCACAGTTTTTCTTTAACTGCATTATTTCCATCTGTGATGTTGAATCCAAAATGCTTCCACACTTGGATAAGTTGGCTTCTATAATAATATAATTTCATATTATTCTATGATAATTAAGCTACTTTACTGAAGGGTGCATCAGCGCAGCAAACCACGCCAAGCTTTCCCTTCTAGCATGGTACTTTACAGTAGGACTGTATGCTGAAAATATCAAATTGGACTCAGTTCTCACTTTCTGCTGCTACTAAACATTGAATACTTTCCAACGTTCCTTTATTGAAGAAATTGAAGGCACCACAAAAGGCATTGCTAAAAAGAGGTTACTTTTTAAAGTACTGTTTTTCTACTTGCTATAAACGTCCTGCTTTTCTTATTTTCAGTGTGATGGATATCTCTCTGAATGACTGGGAGGTGAAGGAGCAGGAGGGTCTGAGGGAAGTGGAGCAGATCCTGGTCAGGGCGGATGAAATGCTGGAGGTAAGAGAGGCACCATTCGTGGCATTAAGGGCTGCACATTAGATGTCCATCACAGGTTAAAACAGCCCGATTGATTTCTTAGTGGATGTGACGGACAGTGAAATGAAGATGTTCCTCCACAGAAAGAGGAGAACTTCCTAGCTCAGGAGGCGGTGCTGGAGGCCCTGCTGAGGGGCGAGGACAGGGACCAGTGGCCCCTGTGGGACAGCGAGTCCCAGCTCAGTGCGGTAGGTTACACTTCAGTCCCCTTCACAAGGTTATCTCCCACTGAATATACCGGTTTTACTCACGGTGCACTGAGTGACTGTTTGTGAACTTACTTTAAGACTCATCATGAGTCGTCATTGTTGACTAAGGTAGAGGTAGAGTGCTCTGACGGATGGAAACCAACAAGAAGCCTATTGTATTACTTAGTTTCAGGTGTACATTGCGCCCGAGGTGAAAAAAGTAATCGGATCTTGAACTTGGGTAGAAGTGTTGTGTAGAAATACACTGTTACAAGTAGTAGTCCTCCATTCAAAATGTTACTCAAGGAAAAGTACAAAAGTATTGGCATCAAAATATACTTAAATTAGCAAAAGTACTCATATACAGTGGGGGATAGATTGAGGGTTTTTCTGGACACAATTCTACCTTTATTGAAGTGCAGACTATACAGCCAGTTTAAACCTAGAGTGCTTGTTCATTATGCTCAATCTGCTTCCTCTCATTTCTAAAGATGTCCTCCAGTGAGCTGGCAGAGGCTGGTGTTCTGGGCCTCCAGGATGACCTGGACCCTGCAGAGTCCGACCAACTCACTGAGCCCACATCAGCTGGGTCTGCGGGTGGAGCTCAGGATTCTGAAGATGAGGGGCTCCACACTGATTCAGCAGTTTTTCACAGCAGGCCGGACCTGCTGACGGAGTTAAGGAAAGTCCACATCTTGGATGAGCTGATCATGGAGGAGAACATGAAGATCCACAAGCTGCGGAGCTGCATAGAAAGCCCAGAAGAGTCTGCGAGCAAACCTTCAATCACAAACGAGACGAACAAAGAGAGGGAGGCTTTCAGGGTACAACTGGAGAAGGAGAAAAGGGAGGTGGAGAAGCTAGAGAAGAGCTTGGACAACGAGCAGAGAGTGAAGAAGCACAAGGACGGCGCTAAAAAGGTTGTAAAATGTTCTATTATGGAGAAGGCTAGAAGTGAGGCCAAGGAGGACAAAGCACTCTGTGATGAGCTCTTATCAGGAGGTTGTAACGGATCACTGAGAACTCATCCTACAGCTTCAGTCCACACTGATCCCCAGGGTCAGGATTCCTGTGAGGCTGAACATATTCTGTTAGACCCCGATGCTGCCAAAGAGGCTACCCCACAACACTTGGTTCAACTTCCTGATTCGGAATGTCAAGAGGATAGCCCTGAAGCTGAGCCGTCAGTATTTAATAGACATACTTTAAATAATACCTCTGATTTAAAGGTACCTCATGAAGAGTTGTGTATCCAACCTCAGGGATGTATCTCCGATAACGAACCAGACGGATCAAGTGAAAAGGCTTCTCCAGCCTCTGAAATAAAGCTAGATTATGGATCATTTGACCAAGGAGGAAAACGCTCCCATCCTCCCATGCCTAAGCCAAGGAAAGCTTCCCTTCCCAGCCTCCAACATGAACCCCCCCACTCCTCAGAGCTGCAGAATCCAGAGCTGCCCTCTGTTGATCAAGATCCTGGTCCTGTGCAACGTGATTTGCAAGATGAACCACATGATGCACTGCCAGAGAATGTGACTGCAGCTGTCCTTCACAGCTTTGTTCTCAATCCAAATGTGAAGGAGCACACTAACAACAACAATAACAACCATGCACTCACTGAGGAATGCAACATTTCTTCTGGCACTGAAGATGAAGGGAGTGCATCAGTGGGAGCTGCATGTTTGCTCCAGACAGGTTTGCAGCTAGCAGAGGAGGTGCTGGCTCTATCTCCTGCAGCGGCGCCCTCGGCCCCCCAGCTGCCCCCTGCCCTGCCTCCGGAGGTTGAACCTGGAGGGAGAGCGGACTTCCTGGATGCTGTTCAGAGCTCTGAAGCCATGAGGGGACCAGGCTCAGGGATTCAAGCCCAGCTCAACATCACCATGACACAGGTACATGTTCTACTGTAACACACAGTTAAAGCTGTGTTCTTATTTCCATAACTTTTTATATTAAAGAGGCCCTATTGTGCTTTTTAGGGTTTTCCCTTTCCTGTAGTGTGTTTATAGATTTTGTTCATGCAAATGGTTTAGTCGACCACTTGATTGACCACTTGCCTGAAATGCCTCCATTGGACTCCTTTGTTTACTTCTGTAACATAGTGACATCAATATGTGAAATCCGCGCTTCTAATGGCTAGCGCCCCAACCCATTGTCGGTGACAGGCGAAGCAGGCGGGACATCTATAAGCAGTTGACCAGTCACAACAGAGCTAGCCAGCTCACCAATCAGAGCAGACTGGGCTCTGGTTTCAGACAGAGGGTGAAAAGAGGTGCTGGAGCACAGGCAGTATGAGAACAATAAAGAGCTTTTTGAAGATTAAATCGTGGAGACATGTCACAGTAGAGACACTAAATACTGATATTAACCTGAACATGAGCAGAATATGTCCCCTTTAAGATCCCTCAAATAGACTGTTTACATGCATCTTGTATTTAAATTTTTACACAAACATCAGTTAAACAGAAACGTTTGTATACTGTTTGACATTTGAATGTGGGCTATGAATATGCGATGAGTTGCCCAGCGCTGGTGAGAATCCCCAGCATCATCTTTCATTAGATTGAAGTGTATTACTTTTTTGTTTTTGTGATTACAGATGACATATTTTAAGACCCCCATAGTTCTGGATACGGGCTCTGGTTTGATGAAAGCAGGATTTGCAGATCAGGACCTCCCAAACATTATATTCCCAACAATCATTGGGATGCCAAAATACGAGGTAAGGGCATACACTTATGTGTATAACTCTATTTTCTCTACAAAAAAGCATTATAACCCCCTACCTCACAGACCTGCTGCACCACCACACCCCTTCCCGCTGCCTCCGCTCATCAGAAGCCAACCTCCTATCCATCCCCACCCGCACCAATCACCGGACCTGGGGGGACAGAGCCTTCTCCGTCGCTGCCCCCTCCCTCTGGAACTCACTCCCACAACCCATCAGAGACTGCACCGACCTCACCACCTTCAAAAAACTCACAAAAACTCACCTCTTAATCTGGCTTTTAATGTGTGATTGTTTTTGTATTATTTGACTTTAACTTTAACTATATATTTATTTGTTGTTCCTTTTTTCTCTTTTCTTTTCTCTTCACTATTATCTGTAAAGCGTCTTTGAGCACCTGTAAAAGCGCTAACAAATTAAATATATTATTATTATTATTATTATGTGCAGAATGGCCCGCCCCATACATCCCACCAGTGGCAGCGCCAGGGGATGGCCAGGGTAGGCTACAGCCATGCCAAGAAATGGCTTAGCCCCACCCAGCGCCATATAGATAGAAGAAGAAGATCTGAGAAGATTCTCTCTATATGGCGCTGGCCCCACCATGAAAAATGATGTTAAAGTAAGCAAAATGAAGTCCGCCAACTCGCGCCGAGAAGACCAGAAATGGTTTTGAAAACTTGATCGTCTTCTCAATAGAACATCTTTGATAATGTCTTCTGGCCAATCAGAATCAAGATAACGGCGTGGTGTTGTTGCAGGAAGTCCCGACGGAGAATACTTTGCTCATTTGCGTACCGACGTACTTGTGAAGCTTTTCCAGAAGGCGGTTAGATCACCGGACGACAGAGTCGGTCTCCGTGTGCACAGACAGGGCTGCTGTTAACGTCGGTTTGTACAACGGAATTGTGCCAAAACTAC